CCCTTTAATTAGTATCGGGGTACTATTTAATTGTAAATTCGACTATTTTTGTAAAATATCCCGATACTATTCAAGTATCTATTATTATTAATAAAATAATGACTTTATTGATATATTTAATGAAGCTACGCTATGTTTACATATTTATTAAATACTGTAATAATTATCGGAAGTAATATTTTTTTACTTCGTAAAATTAATTATATCTACTGTTTTGTTTTTTTTTTCTTTAAAAAAAAAACATCTTTTTTCTAATTATTCGATTATTAATCATCCCATATATTTTGATAATTCGTTTCTTGTTCATTATAATAATTGTCATTATCTTCTTCAAGATTCACCTCTTCAACATTTACTTCACGAATTTTATTGACTAATTCTTGAATTTCATCTTGACTTTCATTAACAATGCCTTGGCTGTTACTCATTTCTTGATCTTCATTATTCAATATATCCATCGCATCATCAGGTAGACTTTCTTGATCTTTATCACTTAATGCTTCGATCTCATCATCAAATTGATTCGTTTGGTGGTTTAGATAATCATAATTAAAAATTAATTCATCTTCAGTTCCATCACGTTTATTTGATATGCCACAGCATTTAAAAGATCGTTGAATTAAACTAATATCGACTGAATCCCATGAAGCCTTAATCCAATTTACTATCATTTCATAGGATGGTCTTTTAATTTTACCTGTGGGTGTTAGTTCTTTGACAGAATCAATCATCCAGTCAGCATAGTGTTGCCGCATCTATATACGTAGTAAAATACAGTATAATTAGAATATAAAAAATAAAATAAGAAATTAATAAAATTTTAATTTAATATATATTTTTTTTTTACCTTCATTTTGAACGGTTTATTTAATGAAACATCCAAAGGCTGTAAGCGAGACGTCAACCCTCCGGGAATGACAGCGATATTTGTGTTTTTGTTATAAAGGCGTTGCTTTACAGAATCAGCTATATGTGCTTTAAATGAATCTAAAACTAATAATGATTGTGCATTTGCAGATCTTGAACGTTTGGTCCAAATGTTCTCAATCCAATAAAGCATCTCACTTTCATTCATCCATCCAGTGGAATTGGCCCGAACAATAACTTCTCGTGGAAAATTTCCTCGTGGAATATTTTTGAGTTTAAAGATTACAAGAGGGGGAAGCTTTGTGCCGTCTGACATACAGGCTAAAACTACTGTAAAATTACTTTTTTCATATCCTGTAGTACGAATGCCAATTGATCGTGCACCTAATAAATCTATAGTAGTGCTATATGGTAAATCAAACGCCATTGGCGTTTCATCCATGTTACCAATTAATGCAAGTGGATAATTATGTTGAATACGTCTATACAGAACAAATGCTAAAAATTGTTGCTGTAGTTCGATTAAATTATCTGGTAAATGTTGTGAAAGTGTGGTACGATGACGATTACTTAAATTGTTGCGATACATCATACCATCTAACCACTTATTGCTAAATGCAAATAACTGAATATCAGGACATGTAAGTTGCCATTCATATTGTTGTGAAAGTGTTTTAGCCTTCATTTGAACCATGTTTCGTGAAACTGCTTGTTGATTTTTTCGCCTTTCTTTGATCCACTCAACTAAGAAAGCCTCCAAATTAGGATATTTTGGTGAGGCACCTTTATTTAATCGTTTTAAACCCGGCTGTGATTTTAAAAGTAATGACTTCTTAGATAACCAGTCTCGAAGTTGCTTTGTTTCAATATTAAATTTAGCCGCTGTTTTGTTTTTACTATGACCACTTTCATAATATGAAATAATGGCAATTTTTTCTCGTGCATTCCACTGCCTTCGTGTTTTTTCTGTAATTGTAGCACGATTTGTTCTTTTGTTTGCTCGTAAACCCATTTTAATTATGTAAATAAGTTCGATCACTTAATATATTAAATTATGTAAAGAATCAATCGTTCAATATATTGATGTAAAGAAGTTCAATCGCTTAATATATTTAGGCAAAGAAGTTCGATTGTTTACTTATTTATTTACCAAATAAATAATTACAAATAAACTTATTTTTATTACATATTTTATGCAATTACTATATGACGTTTATGAT